GGCTCCCGAGCCTCGGCCTCCCCTTCCCTCTCCTCGGTTGTAGACGGCCTCCAGGGAGTTTGGGGGAAAGGGGAGCTACGGCGGGCAGGCAGGTAAACGTTCCTCTGGCCTCTGTGGTCGATATGCCACCCATGTCGCAGGGGCGATGGACGACGTGGAAGTCTCGAAGGGGTGGAGAGGAAAGGAGGGAGGTGGGGAGAGGAACCGATGCCTGTAGTTGCCTGGTGTCCCCTGGGCTGTAGTTCACCGTGTTGTACCTGCAGTCCCAGTGCTGGGAGCTCAGCTGCCTGCTGCGGGCACCAGCCCTTTGCGTGCGGCCTCTTTCCCCTGCCCTGCCTGGCGGGGTCAGCGGGGAGAGCCGGGTAACTCTCCTCCTGGAGAGGGCTTGGGAGCAAGGCAAAGCCAGCCCTCCCTTCTCCCGGGGCGTGCTGCTCAGTGAGGAAGTAGCAGGTTTCCAGTGCTGGGATCTCCCCGCTTTCTTGGTCCGAGCCCAGTTGAGAGGACCATTTCAGATTGCTACTGTTGGTCGACAGCCCCAACCTCCCCTGCTCTCCCCCTTTCTAGAGTGTAGAAAGGGAAAAGCCATGGGGCTGCGCAGCTCCAGAAAGCACTTTGGCGTCGCTGCTTTTGCAGGCGCTGGCTGTCACACTCTGCAAGGGTTCTGAGCGAGCCTGCCCACCCCCCCGGCCCTGCCAGCAGCACGGGGAAGAGTAGCAAGCGCTGCACCGCTACGGAGAGCGTGGCGAGGAGAGCCTCCGTGCCCTCCTCCCGGCCCAGAGCCTGCTGTTTGAGAGCTGCTTCCTGAGGGACCTCGCTCTCCTGGCAAGACTTACCTCCAGCCCCCAGGCCCCTTCCCTCTTTGCAGCGCTTGGGCTGTTCGCGTACCTCCTGGGGGTCAGGCAAAGGGCCATCCCAGCAGCTGGAACACTAAGGGGTGAGGAGAACACTACTAATAACCTACAACTTCGGAGATGTTACTGTCACCAACGGTAACCCACGCTGTGTGCTGGGGCTTGGTGTGTGATTTGCTGGGGGAACCAGTGCGAGCCAGGAGAATCCTTCCTGGCCTGCAGGCTCGGCCCCACGGGGAGGGGAAGGTTAGCAGTGAGAAAAGGAGAGTATTTTTTTCCCCTCCATCTTGCGGGAGTCCTGTTTTACCCCTTCACTCTTTCTTTACCTATTCTGTATTTTTCAGGTTTTGCACAGTTCTTGTAAACATCACTTAAAAATAAATGTCCCCTAGCAAGGTCGATGCAGCCTCAGGTGTTTTCCTCTGCAGGATTTTGCTGGCTTCTCGTGACTGAGAGACCCGTTACATGCCAGTTAGATGCCCTGGAGGTTGAAGGTGTGTGCTTACTAGGTTGCCCACGAGCCTTCCCCTCTCCATCTCTGGTGATATTAAGATGTTAAATATCTGTCTGTGGAGATACTCAAGCCCTGGATGGACACGGTCCTGGACAACCTGTTGTAGCTGATGCTGCTCAAGCAGAGGGTTGAACCAGATGAGCTCCAGAGGACCCTGCCAGCCTCAGCTCTTCTGTGCTCTTGGCTGGCCCTCGCATGAGGTTGTGACGAGCTGTAATTGGTGAAGTTGCCCATGTGCTTCACGGGTGATTAGGACGAGTTTAACATGTTCACGGCAAGTACTAACCTTGCAGGGAGTTAGGCTGTGCCTGCGTGGCTGGGAGGGGATGCTCATCCGGAAGGTGGAGGAAGGCTTTCATTTCCATTTCCAGCACGGTGAAGGGAAACGGGGTGCGTTTTCTGCGGCTGGGATGGTTTGGTGACAGGCCTGATCCTGGGGTTGGGTCTTCTTCCCACGCAGCTTTAAGGGGTTTAAGGCAGACCTTGCTCTCTGCTGCCCAAGGAAGAGGGACCGATGGTTATCTTACTTCATGCTGCCTCAAAGATGTAGAACTTCCTACCGAGTTTTCTGTCTGCATTTCTTTTTCCTTTTTTTTCCTGTTTTTTTTTTTAAAGCAGTTTGTTAATATTCATTAAAAAATACTGTATAGTTTAACTTGTTGTCATACTGGATCTTTTAAAAAAAAAAGTGATAACTTGGATTTTTAAAGAGCTCTTTGGTTCTAGGTAGCTGTTTTTTGCTGCTTAATACGTAGTAAGTTCAGTGTATGCTTTACTGTAGGAGTAAAAATGAGTCCAAACAAAGGAAGGCTGATCCTGTCTTTACGGAAGGGCTTGGTGGTGGGAGCGTGGGACCGGGGCCAGCCGGGGAGTGCAGCACCCACCTGAGCCCTGCTCTGCTCCTGCCTCGGCCGTGCTTGGCTCTGCTCTTCCCCGAAGCAGCTGCTGCGGGTCCCACAGAGCTGGGGATTCAGCGGTCGCCCCGACCGCTTCAGCACA